AATTCTAATTGAATAATAAAATCATTATCAAAGAATGGTTTGGGTTGGAAGGGACCTTAGAGATCCCAACCCCGTGCCATGGTCAGAGCTTCTCCCCCCAGCTCAGGCTACGCAAGGCCCCATCCAACCTGGTCTTGAATACTTCCAGGGATGGAGCACCCACAGCTTCTCTGGGCAGCTGTGCCACTGCTTCACTGCACTCTAAGTGAAAATTTTTCTCCTAATACCTAATCTAAATCTCTCTTCTTTTGGTTTCAAAATGAACCCCCTTGTCCTAATACTATCAGGCCATATAAGAAGCTAGTTTCCCTCTTGTTTATAAGCTTCCTTTAAATATTGAAAGGGAACATATACAAATATAAATAAAACACTATTAAAAAATCATCTCTTTCCTAGATGAGTCTTAATTATCTTTTCACTAAGTGATTTAAAGTATCAAAATGGTAGCTACAGTTTAGTAAAATACAACTATTGCACACAAACTTTAATATTTAGCCTTCAAATTAAAACCTGAATAGATCATACTATAAGCATATAGCAGCAAAGGACGAAAATACTGGATTTAAACAAAACCTGTCAGTTCAACTCTACGGTGGCCAAGAATTCCCAAGAAAAATATGGCCTTCTGAAAGTTCTTTTTCATCAGTTTATGAAATGATAAACATCCATTAGAAAGAATAGTAAAGATGTGCCACACAAAGAGCAACGTAGAAAAAAATTCCTTAAGCACAACACATAAGGAAGTGTACATGAGATGGTTAACACAAACAAGCAAATTAAACGATTAACCACCATTCTCAATGCTAAAAGTATTTCTATATGTTGCATGAAGAAACATTTATATTGTTCAAAAATGTAATTAAAATATTTCTCAGACAATCTGGTTATTTATAGAGAAGATACACAAAAATAATCCTTAATGCACAAATGATTGCTCATGCCATTCATTCCTCGACGTAAGGGTCACATTTAGGAGTTCAGTATATTAAAACTTTCTTTGGAAAGAAAGTTAAATTTAATTCTCCACATATTGTTATTGACAACGCAAGATAAAAGATTACTAGATTTGCTTAGCATTTTTATCTTCTAAACTGTACTTCCAAAAAAAATAAAAAAAATAAAACACACCATTGTTAGTTTTCATTCTACATCAGAAAAGAAACCTGTGAGATGATGACAAGGACTACATTGGTTTTTTGATCATTTCCAAATGGATTTTCCTCAGTAAAATGCAATTAAGATTTTTTTTTTATCACATCACAGTAGAGGCTGTGCTTCACTCTCAAGAAAATTTCCTTGAGTAAGAAGAACAAAGTGCAACTGAGAATAATTCCACAGGGACTTCTTGAAGAAAAACAAACCGTATTGCAATGGATTCAGAACTCCAATACAAACGAACAAAAATTTGACTACATTAAGTTAAATGTAGAATTTCTCTGAAAGCATCAGGTCTTCCTAAGCAAACTATACTCAGGCAAAGTAACGGTAACACTGATAAGTTACCTTTGATGGCCAATTTCTATTAAATCCAAAAGGATCATGGAGTTTCAGGTAACAGCAACATATACACTCTGTCTAGCTCATTTTGGTTCTGTTGCTTCTTGCCTGTATACTGAATGTGGAAGAAAGCCTGAGATATTTCAGTCAGTGTGTGATGAGAGCTGAAAATAGTGTGTGAAGAGGAATTCCCTGGTTACGTGGGAGAACTGTAGCAAACATACACTAAAGTGGTCTTGTGGAACATGATGGAAGAGTTAGAACTATAGAAGCAGAAAAGGAATAGAATAAATGCAATGGAAACAACGCAGAGGAAGAAAGGAGTTTTTCAAGAGGAACTATTAAATGGAAACATACCTTTTCATGGTACAAGAACAACTCAGTGAATGACTATGCAAAAGCTGCTAATACAAGATGTTATATGCAATGTTAGAAGTTGACGAACAGGCTGAAATCTTGGGTAAGAAGATTTGTAAATATATTTGTAAATTTGAAGTCTTGTGGAGCTTTGAAATCTATTTAAGGAGCATACAAATATATATTCACCATGCCATGTACTTGTCCGCATTTTAACAATAAGCAGAGAAAGCAGCACATCCAGCTCACATGAACATGCCACTATTTTTCAAATGCACTAAACTCGCTGCCTCACCTTACTCAGATTCTCCTGTGAATAGTGTTAGGGTAAAACTGAAAGAAGTACTAAACTTCACAGGATATGAACTCTTCTTGTACAATCATAAGGCAGACAATTAGCTAATAAAAATACATTAATATATTATGAGGCACAGACAGAGAAATAAAATACATTCCTGCAGAAGTAGTTAGCATGTAGTAGTAGTTAGCAAGTAGTTAGATGTTTCAATGGATTAGGAAATCTCAGTTTAATATAAAATCTGTATAATGAGAAGCAGTTGAAAAAAAAAACAGGGTAACTGACATTTGCCCATTTCTAATTTCATAAAAAGCTATCAAATACGAACATTTCTCAATACAAAACAACACTCTTCCACTGAGCAAAATAAATTTAAATTCAGAACTTACAATGTTCCTCATCACGGATTTAATAATTACAAACATTCCTGAACGTCTCCAAGGTGAAACAACACTTACCTTCTCCTATTAAGTAATTGCTGCCTGGCTTACAATTAGAAGGGCACAAAAATCATTGCTCCATTCTAGTAAAAGCACAGTTGAGAAAGAATGCAAACAGTGTATAGCTGCACCCAGAGGTAAACACCTGAGAACTAATTAAGTTGAATGACAATGCTGGATAAGAATAAATTATTTTAAGTTAGTCATAAAAAAATTCAGGTTGGAAATGAAACACCCAGATGTTTACCGATGAAAATTCACAAATCTGTGATCAAGCTGACCTGACTGCTGGTAATAACAACAGCTTGAACACAATGACTGAGGATGGTCCCCTGCTTCCAGTAAAACATTAAAAAACAAACAAACAAATTTTTACACTGTTGCAAAATAAAACAGTAGATCTGTTCTCTGAATGAGCATTACATAGCTTACAAATAATAACAGACAAATAATAAAGCAATAATAGGGAACACAGGAACTAATTTCTGCAGTTTTAAAAGCTGATTTGCATAGTTTAAAAAAAAAAAAAAAAAAAAGCTGTGATCCCTATTCAAGCTATCAAGACTATGAAGGTTTCTTTCAAGCAATGGCCTAAGAGAAATTTGCCTAAACACCACTACAGTAACCAATTGGAAGAATATTTCACTTCCTACCAATATTCCTTATTTGTGTTCATTCCCCCAGAATGGAAAGATTAGAGAAGATAGAGAAACCCTTACCATCACAGAAAATAAAAACCAGTCTCATTGTCTGTGATGCCTCCTGGAATTTGTTTACACTCCCAATGCCACAAAAGCTCAAGAAAGTGATAAAGAACAACCTATGCACAAATGGATATACCCACCAAAACCTGTCTCTGCACTTGAGGGATATATCAATTAAAAGCATTACCCTCTTTCTTTCTGAGTTTGGTAAGAAAAAAAAAAAATGGCCCTATTGGGAACACATACAAAACAAACGTAGCAAATAATTTCAGAGTATTCAGTGCATGTGTTTCATGGGGCATTAATTTCCCTAGCTACAGAACTGGCAAACTCAGCATTAGCAAAGTTCACACTAGTGAAGCGAAACACTTCATCCTTGAAACAGAATGATTCATACCTCTTAGCAAATCAGAGAAATGCTATTTTATTGCTAGTTGATACTCTATCAGATGCGAGTTTTGGTCTCAGTTGTTGATTTTAATTAGCTTACTTTTAGCCACTAAATAAAACAGCATTCTATTTTGAATGTCTTTTGCAATACTCGTTTTTGACAGAAATGCCAATTTCTTCAACTTTTTTTGGAAAGTGCAGAATGAACTCCATTTGTTCATAACTGGGAAAATACTTTTTGCTTTCCTTTCTTTCTCCTTCTCTTTTAGTTAAAAAATAACAAACAGGCAACCATGTTAATAAAGATGCCCTTGCTAAATCATCTCTTTTTCCCCAAAGTCTATTTAAAACACAGAAATCTCTTAGGCAACACACACTCATGTAATCTTTGTCTAAGAAGCCCTGACCAGAACATTACAAACACCTCATTCTAGACAAAAGCTTATTTTAAAATTTGCAAGAAATCAAAAGGGATATACTGCCCATAGAGATGGAAAAACTGTTAAAATGAATCTTTAAATCTTATCTCCTGAAAAATAGGAGATGCAATCTGAAGTTCCCTTGGGAAGAAAGAAGATTTATCTGGAATCTACTGTACCATTGGCAGCCACCCTCACCACTAAATGCTTGGACATAGCACATGCAGCCCAAACTCCTGGTTTTTGACAGTGTTTAAGTTTGCCCTTAATTACAGTTACTTTGCTTTATTAAGAATAGTATAGTTAAATTTTTTTGAGGGGGAAAATTGTTCATCAGGTAGGTAGGCTTTTTTCCCCAACTAGTAAAAATCCTTTCTAGTTTGGTCTACTTTTCACACTATTTTTCACTTCAGATTGAGTCAGAAATCAATTATTTACAAGGTTCTAATCTGAAGTTATTAAAAACGGTTTTACACTCTCAGAATTGCTCTTTTCTGTATTTCTTCCATGAAAATACATATTGAAACCAAGAATTAACTGCAACAGATGGAGGATATTGGCTTTTTAGCTTTTTTTTTTTTTTGAAGGTCTGTGGGTCACAGGGTAAAGATGATACTTCTGCATGTATATATATGTAATGTGTTCATACATACATACACATGCCTATTTATAGACTAGAAAATTCTAAGTAATTAAAAAGAAAAATGCAGGCAGCTTTTGCAGGTGGAAAGTAAACGTACTTACAGAAGCTTTAAAGAAATTATCTTTCTGCCAGTATGATGAATGTTGAAAAAAAATCCAGTGAATGTGACGGCTATAAATATACATGCCATTCTTACAAAATTCAGGACAACGTATATCACCACATTCTTATTGTGCTTCATTTGATACTCACAGACAGACTGTAAGAAGGTTCCAATATCACTGGCACTGACATCTTCCCTTGAAGATTCAATTTTGTTAAGTGAAAAATCTTTTCTCCCACAATCCTCTCCTTTTTCATGCGACGTACACTGTAGAGTCTAAAGCGCACTGCGTAATTCCCAATCATCTCAGACTCAACGTGATTAAATTTGAATGTCTCTGTGAAGACAGGGCACGGTCCCCGCTGGATGCTGGTTTTCGCTCTCTGTTTCTTTATGGGGAGAAGAACTAGGTGTACTTGCCACGAGCTTCCACCTGTCCTGCTGTATGTGGGAATGTCTGTGACAGCTGTCACTGTCACCAAAAGCTTCTGTTCCTGTGAGTCATAGTCAAAAGTCACATCCAACGTGCCATATTTAGCTACTGGCTCAGGATCAAAAGGTTTAGGAAGCTGTGAAGACGATCCTCGAGCTGACATATCCTGAAAAAGAAAAAAAAAGCTTTTATTTATTTGTTGTATTCTATTACTAAATCTAGCATGGAAATACGTGGTTTTCTCTAAGCTATACGAAGTGACTGTGATCTTTTTGTTTATTTCATAAACAAGGTAATTAAACACTAAAAACCTGAAGAGATGCTGACTAGCATCCAAGAGAAAAATAAAATCGAAAGACTTTACCTGGCCAATACTGCCAAAAGCCATGAGCCAATCAGACAGAGCTTGGATTAAATTAGGCAATACTTATGATCTCTTCTTCTCTGCCCCACATGCTAAAATGCATACACATATGTTACAAGATATAATTACCTTACTTTCGTTCAAGTATACACACATTTTATGTTAACATTTTGTAGTACTTTAAGACCTGGCTGGTGACTGAGTGCATGGTGTAATGCCAGCAAAGAATATAGGAATTTTAATACTTATTTGCACTTGCAGCTACAAAAATGTTCCGTAGATGTGCCAAAAATTATCACGACTTAATGAAATTTTATTAACACTGCAGATGATGTGTCTGTTCTGAACGGAGTTTCTGGACTTTCCATAAACGGCATCAGTCCTAAAACTACACTGTAAAATTAATTTTTAAAACTGTTTCTTGATACTTTAAATTTGGAATAAGACTGATCTGCTATGTTTTTAAGACAGCCAGTCCGATGACAATCCTGAAACAATAGATATAAGAGATCAACATCCTACGTATATAAGAAGTTATCCCAAATATGTAAAATAAGCATATCTACTGTGTATTTCCATATTCTCAAAGTTATGCTTGGTTTTATAAATAGTTACAACATATAATCACAGAATGGCTTGGGTTGGAAGGGACCCCAAGGATCCTCAGGACTCAACCCTCTTGCCACGGGCAGGGCCACCAAGCTCCAGATCTTTTACAGCCTTTTTGATCTAAAAATGTTACATTCTCATTTTAAGCTGGATGCTACTTAGCTATTCTCATAACTCACTCCTCTGAAAACCTCACTATAGGAGTTGCTGAGTGTCCGTAAAAAATGTTGATGGTATTCTCCTATTACGTACACTTACACTACTGAATGGCATGACACATAATGGGAAGAAAAAAGAGATTTGCTGTAATTTATTATAGTTTGAGGATCATATGTACACACTACGTCTTTTTCAGCAATGAAATTCACAGATTGTTTCCCTAGCTGACCACCAGACACGTGTAGGCAGCTGTCTGCTGGAGGACCTTGCTTACATACAGAAGGTGAGCCTTCCATATATTACACCAGCACCTCAGAATGCAACATCAGCTTACCAAAAGGTTTCCTAAGACAGAAACAGCTGTTGACACATCAGCATTGCTCCCTGGCACGCATTTCAAAACTTGAGAAAAAAATCAAAAGGGAGATTTATACCAAAAAAAGCCTTTTCTGCACACTACAGCAGTTGACACACTTACCCATTACATACCAGCGCAGTAACTGGTTGTTCAAAAATCATCAAGGACATGTCAATGATAGATTATTTCTTTGTAGCAATGATTAATAAAAATCACTATCGCTTAGAATGGAAGAGGGGGAAATTAAGTGGTCTAGATCTCCATTGTATCATCAAATATTTTTTAAAAAACCTTTGTAATTTTTTTCCCCTCACCATTTGAGACATTTTACATAATCAGTTGCTTCAGCATGGAAAGTGTTAATCCCTTTTTTCTTTTTGTTTCTCTGGCTTTTGTTTTAATGTAAAAGATTAGATTTAATTTAGGTTAGAAAAAATAAGTGAAAGAAAAAGAATTTTTATTTCAATCCTTAAAATGACAAAGTTTCTGTCTGGTTCCAAAATAATCTGCATTCTTTGGGAACTCGATTGAAAGTTGGGACATCATAACAATAACTATATTATATTTTCTGACAAACAATTTTTTTTTTTTTTTTTAAGGATAAGCTGTAACACAAGTGCTCAAATTTCTGTACAGAAATTCCTTTTTTAGGAAAAAAAGCTACAGAAAGGTTGTACTATATGACACTTCAGACCATTTTCGCTTACCTCTGGACTAAGGACAGCTGTACTATCGCTTGGTACATCCTCTTCATATCCTTTGTTATGGAAGCTTTCTATTTCATGTCCTGTGCTTCCCTCACTTGGACACTTATATGAACATCTTGGACTGTTGCTACATTGGGAAAATTCACATTTACCATCTCCAACTTCAGAAGGTGTACATGATAGATGAGGAGAACCACTATCATCCTGATACGGAGGTGGCTGCAGTTCATCTAGTGGAGGCGTTCTTCTCATTCTCTGAATGCAGTTAGCTGAGAATAAGAGAAAATTCTTTACTTACTTGCTGATTATTTTCTCTTGAAATAGTTCTGTGGAAAATGCTAATTCCAAATATCTGGAAAGAGTATTTAAAACAGTCCTTTTTTTTTTAAACATGAGAAACTAGATAGAAGTACTACTGAAAAACATTCACTGAAAACGAAAGAAATGATCTCTCAGATGAAGAATGTAGGAAAAAGCAAATTATTAAATATATAGTAAAAATGAACTGTGAAAATCATATAAAAATAAACATAGCACAAATATGATATGACAAAAATGTTGAGTATGAATTCCTTAATGCTTACCTTGCAAAAACCTTTCGGTATCCTGAGTCACATTCTGCACAGGTGGGATATAAACCAATTAAGGAAACAAAACACACTTCCTAAAGCCATGATATCTAACTTCTGATTACCTCCCATGCAGTTGCTCAGCCAGGGAGATAGTAAATTAAACTCTGATGACAAATAAGTTACTAGTAAAGGCTGACAACGAGCCTTTTCACACCACTGAACTCTGCTGACTTTGAATTAACAAAAGAAGCAGCGACTCCGAGAGAGATTCTTTACCACTTGTTAACAATGGCTACACTGTAGAATACCCAGTGTTAAGAAGGTAGAAGTAGTCCAGCCACTGAAAATAGCACCATGAGCAATCTAGTGCTTGGGGTGAATGCTTGATGCTCAGCATCTTTGTTTTACACTTACACTAGCTGGACAGATGGAACTGTGGGGAACGTGTCCTCAGAAAATCAACCCAGGATGCACAGCTATGGATACAGAAAGCTAATTCCAAATAATTTTCAATTTTTGGTCTTAGATTTTACTACACAACATTACACAGCGATGGGAAAAGACAGTGAGACATGCAGTACATGAAATTAAATTAATACCAAGGATAGGTTAAAACATGCATCACATTTTGCTTATGTCAGCTATGGAAGTTTTAATGAAGATTTCAATACCACACACATGTAGAAATAACTTATGCAAAAAAACTTCAAAGCAATAATATTTTCTGTTGTCAGACATACCACTTTCATATATAGGAAAATCTACCAGAAAGGAAGCTAACAGAAGTTTGAACTTTAGAATGACATAAGTCTTGATTTCAGATTCTAACTAAGACAGAAAATGCTTTTCTTTCCCACATGACAAAGGTGCCATGTTTTAGTTTCATCATTAATTTTATTCTGCATACAGAATTGTCCTGTCCGTGTTCTAAATTCTTATAATGTATACAACCCTTTAATCATTTCAGCGTAACTACCAGCATTTCAATGTATCACCTGGACAAACTATGCAGAACAATTAGAGAGTTAGCCTTACATGAAACAACGTTGAAAGTATAATAATGTGGCGCTCTCAGAACGTGGTGCTCTCAGGCAATAAAAAGTGAAAAGCTCCCTTTTTTGTATCTTTTCCATTGGAAGACTGGACCATATCTATCTGAGCATGCAGAAACACTTCTGGGGCTTGATGGATGCCCAAACCATCAAGCACATTGGTTCACATTGTTCAAGGGAAGCAAACCCAGACCCACTGGCTATAAGGAAGCCACAACACACTGCAGATCTCCAAAGCTGTGACAGCATAGCTCATTATGGAGCATATCTACTGCACAGATTTTTCTCTGGCCTCAAAGACCAGCTCTTTTGGGGAATGCGGAGTTCTTCCCTATTCCACTGGGCTTCTAGTGAGCTTTTCTGAACTTTAGATAAGACAAGCTGGTAACAAAAACAATGCAAAGTGCTCCTACCAGATCATTGCGCTGTCAGAGCAATTCCAAGCTACTGTTGCACACTGTTACAGCATTGCATGCAGAAGGTTCTCTGCTGTTAGTTAGCTCTGTGCTCCTGAAACCCAAGCCCCACGGAGCAGGAAACGAAAAATGAGCAGGCAGGGAATCCTACACTCGAACTGCAGTCATCATTTCAGGAGATACACATACAGCCTTACACATGAAAAGACGTTCTCAAGTAGGACAGTCAGAATCTTGAAATCACACAGGGAAGTAATGGGGAAAAACTAATTGCAAAACATGAAGGGATACAGGGCAGCACTTTTGGGGGAGATTAAATTGCTTGTGCCTGTAAAACTAGATAAACACCATTTTAAAATATAAATTGATATTTTAATCATAACAAAACAATAAACATTCTTTGACTTTCTATACCATGAAAACAGGACTTTTCATTACTTACTTAAATATTTAACCAAATTCAGAGCAAAAGAATTCCTGCTCATAGTTCGTACAAGGCAACAAACAGCCATAAGAAGACAGTAAATAGCATGATGCCATTTAATCCTTTTTTACTTGGAGTTTCATCTGAAAAGACATTTCAACTCCCAGTTTCAGCAGCCGAAAGAAATGAAAGTATTTCTGGATAACTATCAACACCACTACTGTCGTACACGAGTAAACAAATGGCTGCATAACTCACTTCATTTTTTCCACTTTGATGAACTCTATTATATGCCCCTATGGGAAAACTGCACAGGCTGCATGACAGAAAAGGTAGGCAGGGAAGAAGTGAGGAAAAGCAGAAATATTAAGCAGCTGTGATTTTAAAATCTCCAAAAAGCAGAAACACAGGGGCAGGTTTTATCTACATATTTTTAAAAGCTTATTTACTAAACAGAAATAACATACAAGTTCTAGAAAATAAATAAATAAAAGCCAGTACCAGCTTTAAAAATCTAAGGACACCTCTGTCTCAGCAAGCATGACCTGTTTTTGCAGAAAAGGCTTCTCTAAAGTTAGTTTTTAAATGACCTTTTCAGTCTTACTTAATTAATTTCCTCCTCCCAGCAGTAAATATTACACTAAAATTATGATATGGTGTTATGGCTCTCTGAAATTTCTCAATTACATGATTACATAATTATTGATGATATCAAAGATAAAGATATTATAGACAGAAGAGAATACAACAAAACTGAATGTCTGATACTGGGCTTTTCCTTTAAAACTGCATAGAATTAGCAACTGTAATAATCAATCATTCAACAATGTTTCGCATACCAAAGTTTAAAATAAGAAAGCAGAGTAAATACTTGCTGATCTATCCCTGATTGCACTGGAGAAAGACATTTGGAGCTGAAAAGAAAGTATGTTCTGAAATGTTTGTATATTTACTTATAGAATCATTGTTTTTAAATATACATGGTATTTTTATTTTAAGGTGCATATTTATACATTGTTATATTTGCCCTAAATTGTACACACCAAGAATGCTTTCCAAAGACCACTGAATGCTGCTGAAGTTATTCTTCAGCAAATGGTTATAGTGAAAACCTAAAATCAAATGGAGCATCTTTTCTACACAAGACTAACAACTTTCCGCCTCCACAGCAGGTAGAAAATAAATTGTGCCAATTCAGAGAGCATAAGCATATTAAATTAGAGTATCAGTTTGAACAATTCAGTAAAAAAACAAACAACAACAAAAAAAACCCAGCCAGCAAACATATATCCTAAACTTGCAATAAAAGAATAAACACAGTGAAATCCTGTCAAGTTTAGCCAGAGGTTCCTCCCAGCCATGAAATGCTGGAAGAGTAAAGATGAAAAGAAACTTACAGGATAAAGATCTCAGAAATGTTTTGTCACCCTAAATACATAGGTTGCTCCAAAAGTAATGCCTCCCCCCTTTTTTTTTTCCCCCCCAAGGAAACTACAATAGCTACAAATCAGTATTTTTCAACCGCCAGTAGCTATGCATTTTTTGCCAGTGATGAACAAGAGCCTCTATGCCGCACTTGTACAAATCTGCAAACATGGTAATGATCCAGTGTTTTACAGCTGTTATGATAGTGTCACTGCTAGGAAAATGTTGCCCATGCAGCTCATCTTTCATTGGCCCAAACAGATGGAAGAAGGTGCCAAATCTGGACAACACTGTTCAGCCAAAACTGGTAAAATGCTCCACAGCCTTCAAACTGGCATTAACATGATGTGAGAGAAAGGCTGTTATGTTCCCATCCTGACTGGAAGTTTAAGCCTTCAGCTTAGTCAGCACCTCTGGTAGCCAGAGTTGCTGGTTTGTCTGGGCTCCAGGACATCCAGAAGGATCATCCCTTTCCTCTCCCAAAGATAGTGCACACCACTTTACTCGCTGAGGGCTGCATCCCACACTTAGCCAATGTTGCCAAGTCATTTCCTTGTGGACCAGACTAGGCTGTACAACGATTTACCATGAAGCTGGTGATGTTAAACATGTTGAAATGTTTAGACTTTGCTATCTTCATTAATTTTCTTAAAAGCTATAATTAGCAGCAGCAAAAAGTAAACTTTCTTTAGCCCATGTTTCCTGAATAATTCCAAGAATTTCTATCTCATCATAAGGAAGAGAAATTATCCCTATGGTTATAATTCCCTTGTCTCATAAGCAATAATTAACTTCCCCGTTGCAACTTTGAGTTTCTCGTATATATCACTCTTATAAATATTCATGCTATTTTGGCAGGCAGCATTATCAAAAAAATTATTGGGGAATCTGGTTTCTAGCTCCTTTTAAACAAATAATTGTGATATAAATTAATCATTTTGCAAGCCACATTTTGAAATTACCTTGAGTATCTTCATATTCAAACACTACATTTTCTTCCTACATCTCCACATACATTTCAAAAACATTTTTTTTTTGTCTAAGAAATTTCAACTTTTCAAGCCTTCAAGGGGTTCTACGTAAATGTTAAGACAATTTAAATAAAACATAAAATGAAATACTTGGTTAAAAATTAAAGAAACCTTTCTTATTCTGAATGATTAAATACCCTTAGAGATTTCTGACATGCAGCACAGACAGTCCAAATGGAATTTTCATGTTTGAACTTTTATACCATCCAAAATATTACGTTGACTGAATTACTCCGTGTTAAGAGCAGTATAAAATCCAAACATTAAATATTGAATGAAACCTAGGGGCTCTCTTCTCTTTAAAATGAAGCTTACATGCAACTTTATGAGGAAAAAACCATGTATTTTA